ACAAATGATTGGGTAAAGAAAGAAAAGATACAGAACAAGATTCTTTAACTGCTGTACAGTATCATATACCTGTATATAATTACGTTACTTCGACACCCTATGCGAAGTGATTATACAGCTGTTATTTATTACATATGTATAGTTGCCATCCATGCTACAGACATAGATTCTTTAACAGTGGTATAATTACATTAATTACCACCACTTGCTACGGCTGCTCATGTTTGAAAAAGCATTTTGGAAACTCACTCCATAACTCGCTTCGTAACTTTTTAAAAGATAAACGGTTCAGAACACAAGAGGGCCGGAAGCTATTTATCCCTTGAAGCTTACGACTCATCGCTTAAAGCATGATCGAAGTGTGCTCTTCACGCTTTATAAAGCGTTTTTCTTTTGATGCTCACGCTTTAGACAATATAGGAGGACATAAAAGGATTTTTAATTATCATTAAAATATCCCTATGTATTTTCAATATAACCATGTGAGTATAAATAAAACATACATGTTATGCATGTACCTTAGTTTATTATGATTCGTTTCTGTACTTCACATGTAAATTCCTTTTTTACCAATTAGGACATGAATGTATATATTTAAAAATCATTATTCCACTATATGTTATATGTTATAATTTTTACAAATTTCTCATGAAGCTTCCACCTCGCTTCGTCAAAGAGTCTGGCGCCTCGCCATGCGCTTCGCTTATTAAACATTGATGGCTACTATAGAGATCTAACTATAGAGAACAATTGATCTAGGATTTGCCGATTCACACCAAACAAAAAAGTTCTATCTTAAGTAGACAGACAGCAATTCTTTTCAAGAGGTTGAAGTTGTTTTTATAGGAAGGGAATGTTGGCATCAGATCAAATGCAGGATAATGGATGTTGATCATGGAAAAAGATGGCCCATTCGTGCAGGACTTTTGATTTTGTAGTTTCAGACCTTTCAGTTTGAATACTAGCTTCCTGAGAACAATGAACTTTTTTTTTGAGTGAAAAAACAAGGGATAAATCCCTTTTCATTTTATTAATCATAATAGAAAAAAGGTACGTGATAGCATCCCTTGTTTAATTAAAGAAAATAGAACTTTCTGTTGGGAATTTAACGCTGAAACCCCTAATGCAACAGAAACGCAGTATAGAAAAAGTACACCAAGATTTAACGAGGTTCGGCAACTGCCTACGTCCTCGGGAGCCACACAGTAAATTTCTTATTAATTAAACAAGAAATTACAATTTAGGAGCGTATCTCAAAACTGAGATTTCTCTGATAAACACTGTAGCTACAGTGTTAATAATCAAAGGGTATGAACCCTTTCAATTCTCACTTGAGAATAAATGAATAACCCCACAATAAATACCCTCTTTAATCCTCTTTAATGATCTCTCTCTCCTCTTAAATCCCCTTCTCTTAATCTCCCCTTAAGATTCTCAAATCCTAAGCGCTGGAGAAAGAGGGAAAACGCAGCTGCGTTTTTAGGGTTCCGCCGCCAGAGGAACAATCGGAGGAGGGGAAGAAATCAGCAGCGCAGCAACGAAACCCTAGGGGCCTTTTTATAGGCGAGGTGGATGAGCTGGCGACAGCCTGTCGCCAGCGGCCCACGGACGCAAAGGTGGGGGCAAACGCCGAGGTGGGGTCGAACGCAGAGTTGGGGGTCGAACGCAGAGCTGGGGTCGAACGCAGAGCTCGGGGAGGCGATTGTGTGGCTCCGCCTTCATCATCTATGCATGAAGGCCAACTGAAGTTGCGCACAACTCCATTTTCTGAACTGTCACCGTCTTTGTTAACATGTCTGCTGGATTCTTACTTCCTGGAATCTTTTCCAGTTTCAACACGTCATCTTCCAACAGGGATCTGATGAAGTGGTACCGAAGCGTAATATGCTTCGTTCTAGAATGAAATGCGGAATTCTTCGCCAAGTGTATCGCACTCTGGCTATCACTGTGCAAAACATTCTTCTCCTGTTTGAATCCCAGCTCTGTCAACAAACCCTGAAGCCATATCATCTCTTTACTGGCTTCAGTCACTGCAACATACTCAGCTTCTGTAGTGGATAGGGTAACGATCTTCTGTACCTGTGACATCCAACTAACAGCTGTAGTTCCAACGGTGAATACATAGCCGGTGGTGCTTCTTCGGTGATCAACTTCACCTCCAAAGTCTGCATCTACGTACCCTTGCACTTCTACCTCTCCCTTACCAAAGTGCAAACACTTCTGTGTGGTGCCTCGTAGATATCTCAGAATCCACTTGACCGCTTCCCAATGAGATTTTCCTGGATTCGACATAAACCGGCTGACCACTCCCACTGCATGGCCAATGTCTGGTCTCGTACAGACCATAGCGTACATCAAGCTTCCGATAGCTGAGGCGTAAGGTACCTGAGCCATACTCTCTTTCTCTTCTTCTGACTGAGGAGACTGATCATTCGATAAACGAAAGTGGCTGGTCAAGGGTGTGCTCACAGGCTTGGCGTTGCCCATGTTGAATCTCTGCAAGACACGGTTGATGTACTCCGTCTGAGATAACTACAAGAGACCTCTCTTCTTATCTCTCGTGATTTGCATTCCAAGGATCTTCTTCGCTGGACCCAAATCCTTCATGTCAAACTCCTTTGACAGCTGCTGCTTCAAACTTCTGATATCCTCCATATCTGCTCCTGCGACCAACATATCATCAACATACAGCAGTAGGATTGTGACGCCCCTGGGTTCACACAAAGCTGCAGTCCGAGGTGAAACCAAGAATGTCAAACCTGCCATGCACCACACCGTGCGATAACATGTTTCACCATCACAATTCTATCACTCTAGTGAGTCAATAACAGGTGTAGGTACAAAGCAAGTGGAAAAAAATACTACAAGAGATAACTGATGAAAATGATAGAGGTAAAAATAGTATTTCATCATCCAACATACAGGAATATAAAGTCAATGTCTGAAATGAACAAACTGGAGTTCTTAATACATCCCAAATACAACAAGTCTGAGTAAAGGAAATAAGGCACACAGCCTTTACAACATCTAGAAATAAAGTCCTCAACCGTCTAAACGAAGTCTATAGTGGAGCTCCAAAATAAAACATAGCTAGAATAGATAGTCGAACACTAAAGTGTGTCGCCATCAACCTGCGACTCTCCGGGCTCCTGGCTCGTGACCTGAAAGGGAGAGGGACAACGAGCGTCAAAGCGCTAGCGAGCAACATCACAACCAACCC